GAGCTCTGATGATTATGAGGTGCATAGCTATGTCTCCTTTATTTATGGGTATTCTAGTGCCTTCTTGAACTCGCTAGGATGGGGAAATATCACCGGATTTGGCCATCAGGAACAGTTTTACTGTGAGAATGGCCATCTACCACCATGATTCTAGTGCCTTTTTGGTTGGTTGTGTTCCTTATAACGTGATCCACCACCATGACAACAGGACTATTGTTTGAATTTCCCTTATGTTGTTCCTTTGCTGGATGCTACTGTAGGAATCTAAAATACACTTCTCTCGGAGCAACTTTAGGTTTATGGAAAGCAACTTTACAGAATTATTGTTTAACTTTTATATAATACTTATACTAATTCTATTTTATCTTAGCATCTGTACTGTTTTAAATATCCCTGGTTACATTTTTTTATTCTTGATTTCACACTCAGTACATCTTAATTTTTACTTCCCAGAGAAATCTGATGGACATTCTTGACAAGGCTACAGCAGATGATGTACTGATAGTTCTTTTTGTTGCAAATTTGTGCGGCACAGCATGTGAAAGTTTGCTTGCAAGGTCAATTGAGATTGTTGTCAAGTCTGACCTTGATACCATAACTCTTGATAAAGCATTACCGTATCATCTAACGAAGCAAATAAACGAGTCGCGTGCCGAACTTGGTTTACTATCACCCAGAACCAATGTCCTTCCTAACAAACATGTTAAAAGAGTTCATCGAGCTTTGGAGTCTGATGATGTTGAGTTAGTGAGAATGCTACTCAAAGAGGAGCACACCAATCTAGATGATGCGTATGCCCTGCATTATGCTGTTGCTTACTGTGACTCAAAGACCACAACTGAACTTCTTGACCTGGCAATTGCCGACATTAACCATAGGAATCCAAGGGGATACACTGTGCTTCATATTGCTGCAATGAGGAAAGACCCGAAAATTATAGTATCTCTTTTAACCAAGGGAGCTAGACCGTCTGATCTCACTTCAGATGGCAGGAAAGCTCTTCAGATTGCTAAAAGGCTTACAAGGGCTATTGATTATCATAAAAGTACAGAAGGGAAAGCCACTCCAAAGGAGCGGTTGTGCATAGAGATTTTGGAACAAGCTGAGAGGCGAGATTCGTTACTAGGAGAGGCTTCAATGTCCCTTGCTATGGCTGGCGATGATTTACGCAAACAGTTGCTGTATCTTGAAAATAGAGGTCAGTCGCTGCAGGTTTTGTTATTTTTCATTTTTTTTTCTATTATTATTTTTTTCCGTCTGTAAAGTTTGTAGATGTCATATGTTTTTGTGTCTCTCATATGAATTTCCTCTGGCGGAAGTTCCAAGTGTTACTCCAGGTGTCTCATTCAATTGATATCCTAGATATAAAGGCTATTTGGTGAGTTGAACTCTTGAGGAAAATTATGAGATGAAGGAAAAGTTTGGTGATAGTTTGAACTCAACATATCATTTTTTCCATACAAATCAAATCCTATTCAATCTTCTGCTATAAACTAATAGAGAAAATATGAAGTTCGAATTAACACTCATGCAAATTTTCTCTCCTCCACCAAATTTTCTCTCCTCCATTCTATAATGAATGGTTTTATAAGGAATTTAGTCTGGAATTAGTTTGGCATTACATGGACAAAGACACCCTCATGCAAATTTTCTCTCCACCAAATCCCTATTTTCTCTCTCATTATTTCCTTAAAGTTTAGTATCTCTTTTCATTTCTATAGTTTTTTATCTCTTATATTTAATCCATTTGATGTTTTCAGGTCTTCACTTCTCTAGACTTGGTAAGTTGAAAATGAATGAATAGTTTCTTAGAGCATCCACAATGCATTGGTCCAATTTTACATATGTGGCATATAAATGGACTTAAGTCCTGAATGACATGGACAAACCCAACTAAAAAAAACCCAAAAGCTTTCTAGTGCAAAAATAAAATACTCCTGTCAACCAATAAAAATGTTTTAATACGTATTCTCTATTAAAAAAAATAAATTAGGAATAAATGCTGACTGTTCAGGCTTGTACTTGGGTCCAAAATAGACTCACGAGTGGACTTGGTCACATTTTTTGATTGTCACATAAGTTAGACCATGTCCACTTTTAATTGCATTGGAAAACATTTTTTAATGGACTAAGTCTATTTCCTACATGGCATAATGATATTTTTTAAGAGATCCAAAGCAAGCATTGTGGGTGCTCTTAGGAATTGACGTGAGTGCTAGATTGAAAGAAAAATGGCTTTAATTTAGAGCATCATTTAAGTTTTAACAAAATAATATGCTGAAACATTGTTGTTTTGGATTGGAGGGATCATCATAACAATATTGTCGATATGTAATTAAATGCTTGTGCTTTTGTTGTTCAAAAGAGCGGTATAGGAAAAGACTAGAATCTTTATTGGGTGTTTTCTATGTTCTGTTAAAAACAGACACAGATGTGATGTTTCAGGAACCAAATCTCCTTAATATATGTACTCAACTTGTCCAATGTGATCTGTCGCCTTTTCAGTTGCTCTGGCCAAACTTCTTTTCCCAATGGAAGCTAAGGTTGCTATGGATATAGCTCAAGTTGATGGAACTTCCGAATTCCAGTTAAGAAAAATCAATGAGAACATGGTTGGGTCAATGAGGACAGAGGTGGACTTGAATGAAGCGCCTTTCAAGATCAAAGAGGAACATTTAAGCAGGCTGAGAGCTCTGTCTAAAACTGGTTAGGATGCCCAACTTTCCTTTGAATTTTTGTATGTGAATATCGCCAACTGTTAGGACAAAGATGGTGAAAGTTTTCCGTGTCACACATTTGCGTTCCTGGACTAGTATGCAAGAGTTTACACTTAAAGATGGAAGAAGAATATTTATAATTGTAACAGATATTACCTTTTTTTACCCTTACATTTTTATAATCTAACAAATTATACTTGTTTTGGGCTTGTAGTGGAACTTGGGAAGCGATTTTTCCCCCGGTGTTCAGCCGTGCTGAACAAGATCATGGACAGGGACGATTATCCCGAGATAGCTCAGCTTGGAAATGATTCTGTTGAGGATTGTCCCCTGAAGAGGCAAAGACGAATGGAAATCGAAGAGGTTTTAAGCAAAGCTTTCTCAGAAGATAAAGAAGAATTTGGCCGCACGATTAACTTCTCGTCTCCTTCTTCTTCGTCGTCCGTGGGAATCATCAGACCACCAAACGGTAAGCTCAGTTTCATGAACTGAGTTGTGGGATGATTATGTAGGAATCCTTCAAATTGGCTGTTCTACTTTCCGTACAACTCTTTTATGCCTTTTTCTATACAGTTGATTTTCCTGATATACACCATAGTTTGAGAGAATTCTCATTAATTTACATGAAATAGAATTGTATAGGAGTATGTACGATTTTATGTGATTTTCTTTATTCTGTAATGAAATGCGAGTGTTATGTACACCCCTATGTACAATATTATGTACATAGAGCATTACTCAAAATATAATGTACCAAACAAAACAAGACGGTTACCTGTTTTATTTTGTTTTATTTTATTTATTTATTTTTTTTTTTCGTTTTTCCTTTTTGATGAAAACAACCACCACTACCTTCAAATTACCTTCCAATCCCAAATGCTGTGGGTAAACGCTTTAATAGCTCTTGATTTTAATGTAATAGCCTCTATACCATGTTAGAGGTTGTCTAAGCATTGGATTAGACTCGGATATGGACAGGAACGAAACCAGAAAATTAATTGAGAGGTGACAAAAGACATGACAAAAAATTTGGGAATGCAAAAAATAATTTAAGAGGGGGGTAAATTAAATTTTTTAATTATAAATGTA